CAGTGTTGGGTTGATGGTTGGATTCAATGGTCTGAAAGGTCTTTTCCAACCTGGACAATTCTTTGATTCTATCTGTGTAGTGGGTTGATGGTTGGATTCAATGGTCTGAAAAGTCTTTTCCAAGCTGGACAATTCTTTGATTCTATCTGTATAATCCAAGTGTCCTGCACAGCCTTTCATTAGCTGGACTGCAAACATCTGGTGCGTTGGGCCAGCTTGAGTCACCTGGTCAGGTTCCCCTCTGCTTTCACAATTAACAGTAATTAGCTTTTCTTTCTTTATTTCAGCCATCATAACATTGCTTTAGCTGGCAGAGATCTTACCTGACAGAGACCTTGCCTGAAAGGTCACTTCTTGGTTTCAGGAAAGTTTGTCTGGCACAGCACTTGGGCCTCATAACATTGCTTTAGCTGGCAGAGATCTTGCCTGAAAGGTCACCCCTTGGTTTCAGGAGAGTTTATTTGGCACAACACTTGGGCTGACAGCGTTTTTACAGCAAGGATGCTACACACTGTGTCACCTTCTGCTGGCGCGTGGGTACCTCCCTCAGGAGTGAGATGTGTAGATTGCACTTCATGATGATCTCTGTGTGTTTTAAGGGTAATCCATGCCCCGGGGAGCTCACAGGTTAAAGGGATGGGGAAGGGAATGGCCAGACGCACGTGTTGACCATGACTTGGTTCATCACCAAGTGAGCCTTTAGAAATGGCTCGCAAAGGCACAGTGCCAGGGTCATGAAGAGGAAGATGCTGAGTGGAAGGACCAGTAAAACTGGGTTTGTTTGTGTGATGAGCAAGGAGGGAGCAGTGCAGTTGTGGGCTTTTCTCAGAAGGCTAGAAAAGGCAGAATATCCTTAGATATTTTGTTTTATTTTGCCCCGTGGCTCATTCTTGGTTTCAGGAAAGTTTGTCTGGCACAGCACTTGGGCCGACAGCGTTTTTACAGCAAGGATGCTACACACTGTGTCACCTTCTGCTGGCGCGTGGGTACCTCCCTCAGGAGTGAGATGTGTAGATTGCACTTCATGATGATCTCTGTGTGTTTTAAGGGTAATCCATGCCCCGGGGAGCTCACAGGTTAAAGGGGTGGGGAACAGAATGGCCGGACGCACGTGTTGACCATGACTTGGTTCATCACCAAGTGAGCCTTTAGAAATGGCTCGCAAAGGCACAGTGCCAGGGTCATGAAGAGGAAGATGCTGAGTGGAAGGACCAGTAAAACTGGGTTTGTTTGTGTGATGAGCAAGGAGGGAGCAGTGCAGTTGTGGGCTTTTCTCAGAAGGCTAGAAAAGGCAGAATATCCTTAGATATTTTGTTTTATTTTGCCCCGTGGCTCATTTTTTGTTGGAGGTGGGATGTAGTCTCTGTGTGCAGAGAGCATTTCCATTCTCTTATCTCCTATCATCAAGAGGATGGGCTGGTCCTTTTTCAGTGGTGCCCCGTTACAGGACAAGAGAAAATGGGTACAAACTTGAACACAAGAAGTTCCATCTCAACGTGAGGAGGAACTTCTTTCCTGTGAGGGTGGCAGAGCCCTGGCAGAGGCTGCCCAGAGAGGTGGTGGAGTCTCCTTCTCTGGAGACATTCAAACCCCACCTGGACACGTTCCTGTGGGACCTGCTCTGGGTGGACCTGCTTTGGCAGGGGGTTGGAGGAGATGATCTCCAGAGGTCCCTTCCCAACCCCATATCATTCTGTGATTCTGTGATATCTGGCCAAATCTATGTAAATACACACAGTCCTAAGTGTACCCTTGCCCAGGTGCCAGCAGTGTCACAGCAGCACTGGGGCTTGGATGCTGTTACCAGTTAGAGAGGGACAGCTTTTACGCAAGCTGGTGACATGACAGTGTGTGTGGCAGGGTGACATCTTTCTCCTGAAGCCTCTGCAGGCAGCGAAGATGCAGATTAGTTGGACCACTGGGTTCCTGCTGTGTTGCACGCCTGTGCGTGCAGCAGAAAGGCATTTAGCATCCCTTGCCTAATTGGGACTGTGTGACACGAGTGTCTGTTAACGAGAGAGGGGTTTTTACCCACGGGACCCTTTTTGAAAGCTATTCCAAATTAATAGAGTCCTGGCAACAGCGGTGTTTGCTCATCTGGGTTTCTACCTTGCTTGGTAATGAAGGGGGTTGGGTGAGAACCCGCCTGCTGGATAAATGTGGGTGATTACGGCGCGTCAGGTAATTAGTTATTTGGCATGATCAATCAGGTTGTCTGCAACGGAGCAGCCTCCACTGGCACGGTGATGAAGCCTTCTCCAAAAAGTGGCAGGATGGCCATCAGCTTCTTAATGAATCTGTGTGCCACTGCCCGCCCCACACGTCGAGGGGGTTCTGAGGGGAGGGGAAAAACCAGCACAGACACAGATGGGAAGCCAGGGAGCGGGTGAAAGAGCTTAAACAGGGAGGGGAGGTGCATTTGGAGTTGGGTGACCCAGTTGATTTGGCCACTGACAAGTTGAAGGTCGCTGCCCCTTGGTTTCCCCAGTTCCTGTAGGCTTTCCCTGGAGGTACCCTTCCCGGCATGCCTGGGTCACAAGGGCTGGCTGCTGACCTGCCCCCTTGCCCCCTGAAGTCCACGAGAAGCCACCCGTATGATTTCCTGCTCGTTAGAGACCCCTCGGTGGAGATGCTCAATCTCCAGAACTGGCTTATTCGCTGCGTTGCGGGGAAATGGGCAAAATTTCCAGAAAACCCACGGTTTGGGTTATTTTCCCTAGCGACCCACCCTGCTGAGTGAGATGCTGTTAAACATTTCGTGTGTTTCTGTGCTCTTCCGGCAACATTTCCTTTTTTCTTACAACTTAGCCAGGACAAGGAAAATTGTAGATTTGTACTTAATTACGACTGGAAGCGTCTGTCAGAGCAGGAGCCTGAATTCTGCCCCGTGGTTATTTGCTGCCAAGGAAGCAGTGACGAGGGTGTTTCAGGGAGGTGAGAGAGAGGTTTGTATTTTTGCCTCGGGGAAAATAACGTGCCTGTGCTCTCTTAGGGCTGGAAACCACAATGAATACCAAGGACCTGAGCAGCTGTCTCACACCGTCAGCATTTGGGAAGCCAGCCTTCTCCTCCTCTCTGGAGCTGACCTCCAGGTGCTTCTCTCATACCGTGCAAAACACTTGGCTCTTCACCGTGGTTTTACCTCAAGACACTTCTTGGTCATTAATTGCTTCAAGGAAAAAGCAAAAAGAGCCTTTCCCACCTCGCACACCTGTGTGGTTGTAGGGATTTACTGGGTTCCTTGGAAAGCCCTGAGGTTTGGAGCTGGGGGTGGAACTTTGCATCCAGAGTGCTCTCACCACTGGGTACCACGGGACAGAGGAGGATTTGCTGATGGGCTGGGGGTGTTTTGTGTGGAGAAGCTCTTCTGGTTTATTACCAGAAAACAACACGAGATAATAAATTTAAGAACAAAAAGCTGTGTATGAGAAGTAGATTTCGCAATGCGTTACGCAAAAAGCGAGAAGGCACCAGCAAAGGGAACCCGTGGAAAAAGGCAGGTTGGGAAGATGGACCATCCTGTGGACGGGACAGTTGGATGGGGAGTGAGTCCCCAGCTGGTGCAGGTTCTGAGGTGACCTCAGGTGAGCTGTTTCTCCGTACCCCCAGTTCCTGCTCTCCGCAAACTGGACGTGATTTTACTGTCTAAAGATTTCCCCAGAATAGATGAATGTTGATGAATCACTCGGTTAACCTCAGCTGAGGAGCGTGACAGACCTTTGGCAGAGGGCAGAGCAGGCAGGTACCTGGAAGCTCTTGAGGGAGAAATTTCTGTAGCTTTTCCTTGCTGCAATATTGAGCATCTCCTGGAGCAGGCTCTTGTCCCCGTGTCCCAGATGGAGCACAAAAAAAGTGTAAGCTGGGCTGTCAGTTCTTCACTTGTCTGCCTTGAAGCAGTTTGAGTTGACTTGTACTTTGCAAAGAGGGGGAATGAGGCATGGAGGTTGTGTGATTTCCCCAGGGTGCTGGATGAGGCAATGTTGGAGCTGGGGACAGACTCAGAACATCTTGACTCCAGGTTTCTGCTTGTGTTTCTGAATTATTGCCGCCTGAGAGCTCAGATACAGCACCATACAATCATTTCAAATGGAAGGGACCTCTGGAGGTCTCTGAACTTGGGCATTGTCCAGCTGAATTTTGAGTATCTTTCGACCTCATATCACAAGGGCCAATTATGGCCAAGCAGGCGGTGGTCCTATCCTGGCAAGGCAGGGGAGAAGGTCACAGCCGTGGTGCAAAGCCGGTGGCCGTGTTGTCTGGGACCTGTCTCCAGCAGACCACATGGGGAAAGAGCAGAAGGACAGAGTGAGCTTACATGATGCTTCCCCTCATATCGTTCAGCCTTTGCCTTCTTCAGCAGACGTGGTCTCCTGAGAGAGCACATGGAGGGTTTTTCTTGAGATGTTTGTCTAGGACCCCTTTACCCCCCATAACAGCTGGGGATGGGGAGCGTGGCTGGAAGCAGTTTTGGCTTTGCGTGGAGTTGAATGTGGTGAATGTTTCTTGCTTTAGATAAAAGCTGCCTAAAGCTGGGGATGCAGTTTATCCCCTGAATTTCCAGATTACAAGACCTTTTACGGGTTGTGCGTTGATCTTCGCCTGGGAGGATTCCTCTGTACCTGGGAGCTCTCGAGATGGTACAAATCCCTGGTGATGATCCCTCAGGCACGCGAAGCATTTCAGAGTGAATTTTCCATCTGCTCCTTTTAAAGATCTGCTCTCAAATGTACCTTAAAGCACACACCTAATAGATTTATTCTCCTTGTTCAACTGCAGAAGGAAAATCCTCCAAACGCTTCTGTTCCCAAAGCGAGGGGAGATCTGGGGTATAATCCTTTTCTTCAAGAGCATTAGGAAGTAGAAAGTTATCGTCGCTAAAGGACTGGGTTTTGTTCGTTTTTCTTCCATTTCACCTGAAACTCTTCTCTGAAGGGGGGGGAATGTGCTGTATTTTGCTTTTTTAGCAAAATTTGTTTCTTCTTCTTTTATTTCGTTTTTAGTGCTGGCGAAAAAGAGTCTCGGCAATAGAAACTGTCTACTCAAGACTGAACAGATAAAGCCCAGGAGCCTCTAACAACTGCTCCCCAACATCCTTCATCCTTCACCAGGAGGGAGCCTGCATGACAGAGGTGGGTACAGTCCTTTGCTCTCCACAGAGAGGGCCAGCCCAGCAGAAGGTTTGTGGAGGTACCAGAGTAGCAATAATGCTGGAGACCCAGCATTTGATGAGGAAAGAGAGTGAGCCAGAGTTGGGGAGCTCTAATTTAACAAACACAAGGATGGATCCCTGTAGATTTTTCTCCTGGAATGTTCAGTGTGGTCTGTGTCACCACATTCTGCCTGATGGTTAGTTATTGCTGTGCTGCGCTCTGGAGGACCATAAGTTTAAGGTTTCCAGGTTCTGTTCACAAATAGGGACCCTGGGAAAGGGACAACAGTGTGGTCTGTGTCACTGCATTCTGCCTGATGGTTAGTTATTGCTGTGCTGCGCTCTGGAGGACCATAAGTTTAAGGTTTCCAGGTTCTGTTCACAAATATGCTGGGAAAGGGACAGATCGTCGCTAAAGGACTGGGTTTTGTTCGTTTCTCTTCCATTTCACCTGAAACTCTTCTCTGAAGGGGGGGAATGTGCTGTATTTTGCTTTTTTAGCAAAATTTGTTTCTTCTTCTTTTATTTCGTTTTTAGTGCTGGCGAAAAAGAGTCTCGGCAATAGAAACTGTCTACTCAAGACTGAACAGATAAAGCCCAGGAGCCTCTAACAACTGCTCCCCAACATCCTTCATCCTTCACCCTTCACCAGGAGGGAGCCTGCGTGACAGAGGTGGGTACTGTCCTTTGCTCTCCACAGAGAGGGCCAGCCCAGCAGAAGGTTTGTGGAGGTACCACAATGGCAATAATGCTGGAGACCCAACATTTAATGAGGAAAGAGAGTGAGCCAGAGTTGGGGAGCTCTAATTTAACAAACACAAGGATGGATCCCTGTAGATTTTTCTCCTGGAATGTTCAGTGTGGTCTGTGTCACTGCATTCTGCCTGATGGTTAGTTATTGCTGTGCTGCGCTCTGGAGGACCATAAGTTTAAGGTTTCCAGGTTCTGTTCACAAATATGCTGGGAAAGGGACAGTATTTCCCTGATTTTATAGGAAGATGGACAAAAGGAGGTGTAAGCAGGGTGGGAACAGGTGTGCTCAGGTATTTGCAGAGGACCCTAGTACTGAACATGGGCAGAGTAATGACTCTACGAGCATCCACAGATCAACCCATCCTGGTTCTTTCCACTAGAAACGCAAAATGAGGGAAACCTCAGGTATTCCCAGAACTTCATTGGTGAGGGGGGTGTTTGAATTTGAACTAAGATGTGACAATGTGCCCCAACAGCAATTTAGTCTCATGGCCCTGTGCCATGGGAGAAGGAATACAACGTGCAAACCTGTCGTGCCCGAGAAATCAGCCAGGTTGGCATTTGGGAAGAGGCTCAGGTAATTATGGAGCTTCTGATTTCCCAAGAGCTCTTCTGGCCTCTTTTTTTCCTGTGTGTGCATGTAATTAGGTCTGTCGGGCAGCAGCGTTGTGTTATAATGTCAACAAGAGGTTTCTCAGTGTGGGGCTCAATCAGGTTAAAGGACTAAATAGCACCTGGGAGCGAGGGGAATGAGTTGGCTGGAGAGCTCAGCAACAAATCCCTTTCTCCTCCTCCCAGACTTCTTTTTGGGAACTATGGAAATTACCAGCCTTTTTCCCCAGGGCTGCTTATTGCTCTTAAATACACCACTAAAGTCTCTCTTGGTAAAACCACAGATTGGGTTTTATTCGGGTTGTTTTTTTTTTTTTTGAAGTCCTAATAACAACGTATTACAACCTCAGGCTCTCTCGAGTTGATGAGGAATAAAGTCTTAGTAATGAAGAAGAGTCTGAGAGTGTGTCCAAAGTGCTTGCTTTATGGCCAGCACATATTTCACACTGACAGTCAATACTTTTAACTGATCCCAAGCCACGTGTGTTGCATTTCAAATTCCTCCCCAGCCTGCTCTGGTCTTTCCCGTGTGTATTTTCCAAGCTGGAGGCAGAGTTAGTTTGTCAGTTTCGGGTTTCTGAGCATACGGATCTTTTTTTTTTTTTTTTTTTTAATTCACAGCCCATCTTTTTAGGTCAGGAGGATAAAGTTTGTTCTGTGTTAACTGAAGGGAAGGACCAGAGGAGCCCCTGGAAGGATTAGGTGGCAGAACAGCTGCAGAGGGTTGTGTGTGGTGTGGTGGATTTTAGCTTTTCAAGGACGCCCGTTGCCATTTTGGAGGGTCCAGTTTGCCATTTCGTCACTGTTTGGGGCTCATAAATGGGCGAAGCAGATAAATCAGACCAAGATTTATATGCAGTCTGAGCTGATAACCTCTGTGGCTGCCTTTACTGCCTGTGGGGCTGCAGTTTGCTCTGGCCAGACTGAAGCAGCACCACCATGTGCCCCTTCCTTGCTCCTCAGCCACATTTATGACCCCTTGTTCCTGTGCTAGATCTCAACACCTGGAAGGTTTGGCCACGCTTATCCCGTGCCACCCCCAAATAAAAAAAAACCCAGCAGAGCTTCTTTTCCCACACGTGCCTTAAATTTAAGCTGGTTTTTAGATTCACTGGGGTTCCAGTGAGTGTGTGCTCGGAAAAAGGGTTACTGGGGCAGCTCTCATCTGGCCAGATGTTTGCAGGAAACTGGGAGCAATTCTTGGATCTTTGCAGATGAGAGACCAGGCTGAATAGCAGGGACTGACCCCCTGGTGTATACACACGGACAGAGACAGCACGAGCTTCTTTTCCTGAGGAAAGCTTAAAAAAGGAGGGGAAAAAAAGGAAAAATAGACTTTTAAAGATTTTTTAAATTATTATTTATTTTTGCCTGGTTTATACACTGGTGCATACTAAAATCCTTCCATGTCCCAGAGGCACGACACGAGCGTGCTGCTATTGCCAGGGCTCCCTGTGCCTGACTGACAGCCCCGCACGGAGACGCCGGGGATTTACATTCATCACCAGGCTCTCTCCCAGCCCCAGCAAGTGCAAGTTGGTGTGTACAGAGAATAGTATTAAAATCTCCTGCCAGCAGAGCCAAAGCCTCCCCCCCTTCTGCCCGCAGCGACTGCGCTGCCAAGGTCTGAGAAAGCTGATTTAGCCTTTTCCTGACTTTTTAGCCCTTTTATCCTCCCAGCTTTTTGAGATTTACACCACTGCTGCTTGCCAGACAATGTTATGAATTTTAAATCTGCTTTAATTTTAAGTGTCCGTACTGCTGGGGAACTCCTGGTTGTGGGTCAGGTTGGGGGGATCCCCGTTTAATCGTGGGGCGTTAAGTTACTGACAACAAATGGCCTTGTAACAAGATAGGCACAGGAATTTTGCTTTGTTAAACCTCATTTCCCCTTTCATTATGATTTTTTCCTGGTTAAAATCAAATCTTCCATGATTTTTTTTTTTTCCTGACACACACACTTGTACTGCACTCAAAATTATTCCTGACTTCTCTCTGCTCCTTTAAGGTGAACTTCTGTTTTGCTTTGGCCCTTTTCCAGATCTCTGTTTTAGCTGAGATTTGCTTCCCCGTCTTCTTTCTGCTACTTCTTGATGAGTAGATGAGAGGAGTATTAAATAGATTTAGTGAAAAATGACCGTCACCAGTGTAGATGACTTTGCTCTAATTAAAAATTGAAGCGGAAATTAATAAGCTTCTCTTGAGGCTCTGGGAGAGTCGATGGGAAGCCCAGCACTAGGTTCATCAGGGAGGTGGGAAATCTGGTATATGAGAGAATATCCCAGAGACTTGGCTACTTTGGAGGCTGCTAATAAAAGGGAAGGGAGAGTTTCTAGTGGCAACCTCTTCAGCTGGCCCAGATTTAAATCCATAGACCAAAGACTCAGAGGTGAATTTGCCACATCCTTGATTTTTATGCCCGTGCTGGGTAGGGCTTCAGTGCCATCGCAGGGTTTTCTGAGCAAAAAGGCGTATTTAAGGAAACTGATACCACTTGGGTGGTGCAAGCCCTGATGGATCCTAACTTCAGCATCTTTGCTTTGCTGTACAGTGTAGACTTTCCCAGTTTTGACCAGGAATTCCCTCTCGTGTGCCGCCAGCCAGCAGAGTTAATCTTAACCAACACGAGGAGGTTCCCTTTAAGCTTTCTCTTGCAACGAATCAAAATTTTCCGGCAGGAAATGAAAGCAAAACACTTTGTCTGAAAATTCCTCATCAGCCCTAGTCACTAGAGCAGAACAATAGTGGTTACACTCAGTTATGCAGTACAAATTCACAGCGCCGCTGTGTCCCGGGATCACAACATGCCATCCATCAAAAGGTGGGTGGAGAGAGCAGGTGTACATTAATATCTCCAGTTTTTCACATGAGGAGACAGGAGCTTGCAGATGTTAAGCAGCTTCTGCAGAGTTAGACAGCAGCAGAGGAAACCAGATCTGGTGTTTTTTGTTTTTTTTCACATGGCTGTGATTTTTCTGGTCTGGCCACTGAAGCGTGCAACCCTAATGAAAAGCAGAGTGCCCGGAGAAAGCCACGTGGCCGCATCTAATGAACCCCTGTCGCTTTCTCAGGTTTGCTGGTATCAACCCCGGAGGTATTGGACATGCATGAAGGTTGCTGTTTGGCAGAGAGGACAGTTACTTTTCCAAACTAGCCATGTCTTAGGTCACGAAGGGGTCGCTTTGTTTGCCTTGCCTGAATATATGATTGTTCTCTTGTAGGAATGGCTGAGCATCAGCCGCGCGGCAGCGATGAGCAAGACTGACGTTCCTACAAGTCTCTTCTGGCTCCCTCTCCACGATGCCTGGTGCCTCTGCATATTCATTGGATGGTAATGCAGGATGTCGAGAGCAGCGGTAGAGTTTGGCTTGATCCCATTGTGTTTTCCTTCTGCCGGTTGAGACTTGGAATCACCATGACAACGCTGTGACACTTCCAGCACCGATTGCCCGCAGACCAAGGGTGGGCTGGGGGTGGGTGAGAAGGTCAATGATTGAGTCTAACGGGGTCAAAAGTTGTGCCTGCAGCAAAATGACTGTAGAAAAGCCGTCGGTGCGACAAGAAGATGAAATTCCCCTTCTTTTGGCTTCTCGTTAAGCAGGCACAATAGCATTTTTTTTCTCGAGACTCGCTATAAAAACTCTTTTGGTTATGGCTACTGATCCAACGTGATTGGGCGCGCCGCGACTTTGGAACTCATGACTGGATATACGATGTTGCGGAATGGGGGAGTGGGGAACGGAGGCCAGCCGTGGGTGTTGAGGTGGTCCAGTCGGATCCGGCTCACCTGGCTTAGTTTCACCCTCTTCATCATCCTCGTCTTCTTTCCCCTCATTGCCCACTACTACCTGACCACCATCGATGACGCCGACGATGCCGGCAAGCGCATCTTTGGCCCTCGGACCGGCAATGAGCTGTGCGAGGTAAAGCACGTGCAAGACCTGTGTCGCATCCGCGAGTCGGTCAGCGAGGAGCTGCTCCAGCTGGAGGCCAAGCGGCAGGAGCTCAACAGCGAGATCGCCAAGCTCAACCTGAAGATCGAGGCCTGCAAAAAGAGCATTGAAAATGCCAAGCAGGACCTGCTGCAGCTGAAGAACGTCATCAGCCAGACCGAGCATTCCTACAAAGAGCTGATGGCTCAGAACCAGCCCAAGCTCTCCTTGCCCATCCGGCTCCTGCCAGACAAAGACGATGCGACCTTCCCCTTGCCAAAATCCAACCGCAACTGCAGGCTGCACAACTGCTTTGACTACTCGCGCTGCCCGTTGACATCTGGCTTTCCAGTCTATGTCTACAACAGTGACGATTACCCTTTTGGTAGTTCCTTAGACCCGTTAATTAAACAAGCCTTTGAGGCGACCGTCAGAACTAATGTTTATGTTACTGAAAATGCAAATATTGCTTGTGTGTATATAATTTTAGTGGGGGAAATGCAAGAGCCCGTAATGCCAAAACCTACTGAACTAGAGCAACAGTTGCACTCTTTGCCATATTGGAGGACTGATGGACATAACCATCTCATCATCAATTTGTCAAGGAAATCGGAAACTCAGAACTTCATTTACAACATCAGCACGGGGCGCGCCATGATTGCCCAGTCCACCTTCTACGACGTGCAGTATCGACCGGGGTTTGATATTGTGGTATCGCCTCTGGTCCACGCTATGTCTGAACCCAACTTCCTAGAAATCCCACCCCAGGTGCCGGTCAAGCGTAAATACCTGTTTAGTTTCCAGGGGGAGAAGATTGAGTCTCTCAGATCTAGCTTGCAAGAGGTTCGCTCTTTCGAAGAGGAAATCGAAGGCAACGCCCCAGCTGACTACGACGATCGGATCATCACCACCTTGAAGGCTGTTCAGGACAGCAAGTTGGACTTTGTTTTGGTGGAGTTCACCTGTAAGAACCAGCCTAAGGCGAGTCTGCCCACTGAGTGGGCTCTGTGTGGAGAAAGGGATGACAGACTAGAGCTACTGAAGCTATCTACTTTTGCACTGATAATCACCCCAGGGGACACCCATTTAGTGATCTCCGCCGGGTGTGCCATGAGACTGTTTGAGGCTCTGGAAGTCGGAGCCATCCCGGTGGTTCTTGGCGAGCAAGTTCAGCTTCCCTATAATGATGTGATCCGGTGGAACGAGGCAGCCTTAATCATACCAAAGCCACGTATCACAGAAGTGCACTTTCTTCTGAGAAGCATTTCTGACAACGATCTCCTTGCCATGAGGAGGCAGGGCCGCTTCTTGTGGGAGACCTACTTCTCCACCTCTGACAACGTGTTCAGCACAGTCTTAGCTATCATAAGGACTCGAATCCAAATCCCGGCTGCTCCTATCCGAGAAGAGACCGCCGTGGAGATTCCCCACCGGTCTGGCAAAGCTGCTGGTACAGACCCCAATATGGCAGACAATGGTGACCTGGACTTGGGGCCTGTGGAAACAGAACCACCCTATGCATCTCCCAAATATCTCCGCAATTTCACCCTCACTGCAATGGACATCTACAGGAATTGGAATTCTGCTCCGGGGCCTTTCCACCTCTTCCCCTACACTCCCTTTGACCCTGTTTTACCGTCAGAAGCAAAATTTTTGGGGTCTGGGACTGGATTTCGACCTATTGGTGGAGGAGCAGGTGGCTCTGGGAAGGAGTTCCAGGCTGCTTTGGGTGGCAACGTCCCCCGGGAGCAGTTCACAGTAGTGATGTTGACTTACGAGCGGGAGGAAGTGTTGATGAACTCCCTAGAAAGGCTCAATGGTCTCCCGTACTTAAATAAAGTTGTGGTAGTGTGGAACTCTCCCAAGCTTCCCTCGGAGGATCTCTTGTGGCCAGACATTGGCGTCCCAATCATGGTAAGAAAGATGTAGCTACTGTGGTCTCGCTTCTTGGTGGGGTTTGTGCGTTAAAAGTTGGCTGTAGCTCTTCTGTTGCGCATCAGCTCAGCATAAGTCATCTAGGGCAGTGTTCATCTCGCGTGGTTGTAGATGCCTGTATCTGATCTGGATGTTTTATCAGTGGAGAAAACCAGGGAGATGACAGATATGACTCATCTGAGCCATTTTGGGTGTTTGTGTGAGAATGCCGCAGCTGCTGCTCTAGAAATTCCCATTTCTTACCTTAAAGGGAGGTCAATGTTGAGAGCCAAATGGCTGCACTCTGTGGACGTAGGAACTTAGGCCAGATGAATCGCTGTCACAAGAGGTTCATTGGGTGACCATTGGGTTATAACCTTTGGGTTATGAACTACAGGAGGTGTTACGCAGGAGAGCCTAAATTGTAAGAATGCGAGATCTTTAGAGGTGGCAGGTGTTTCACACTCATGAAATGATAATTGCTTAATGAAGAGCCTAATATGAATCTCAAGGCTTAAAGCTAGAGATTGTTGCTTATTGAAAAGCTTTGGTTAGGCTCTTTAAGTGTCACGCCGTGAGGACAGTTGGCACCTTATAAATACGTAAGTAGTGACTGTTTCTGCACTTTACCAGATAAATCTTTTATAAAAACAAAAGAGGGACCCAGGGAAGCCGTGCCTACTGCAAGGGCCTCAAAAGTCATTTATCACTTTGTATTCCAAGGGATGGCAGAGAAGGAAATAGAAGCCAAGGCCGATGTCACCATGAGAGCTTCCATGCTCCAAAGGTTGTGATTCAGTTTTCCGTAGATCTGGGTCGATTCCCCCACTCAGACTCTAGAAGTGACACCTTCAAAGACCGATGACGTTCCTTTTCACGCCAACTATCACTGGCATATTGGCAGTGTTGCTTGTAAGGACTTAATTCTCCCTAAATTATTATGCTTGTATTTATGTCAGAGTTTCTCTGTCATCAACTTTCTGCTCTGGCCGTTGTTAACAGTCAATATTAAACATGAATCTCCACGTGCCTTCGTAAAGAGCCTGGGCACAGAGCCACCAACAAGAAGCAACACTGTGTTGTCTGAATCCGGTTGTGTTTAGAGGACAAATGGAAGGATAATGCCTTACAAATTGAGGAAGGGGAAAATAAAAGAGGGAGGTGGTACTTAAGTACACAAACTGCATGTGGTTTATGTGACAGGACGCTACTAAGCTTAATAGCAATGGGAGCTTTATGGTTCATGCAAAGAGATTCATTGATTTAATATTTCATTTTATTATTATTGTGATGAATAAATCCTTCTGCTCACATTTAAAAACCCTTATGGTCCGGGGACAATGAGGAGAGAAAATTGCTTGGATAATTGCAAACTAATCTTTCACATTAGCCCTGTTGAATGCCTGAATCCTGCAAAATCTTCGCATTGTGTCTGCTGAAAAATTCTGTCCTCCTTCCGAGCTGAAGAGGGAGGATTGTTCTCCTTGGAGTTGCTAATGGGTGTTATTTGTACGAGAAAAATATGTTTCTGTTGATGGACGTCTCCTTGGAGTTGCTAATGGGTGTTATTTGTGCGAGAAAAATATGTTTCTGTTGATGGATGTTAATGCCTTTTTTTTCTTTTTTTAACCCTGCTCTTATCTACACATCTATCGTGTTGGAGGCCCACTGGCTTTTTTGGGGATGTTGACACACACGAATTGCTGCGTGTCACCTTCGGGCTGTACATTTTGGGGGTGGGACGTTTGGTACCTCTCAGTTTAAGAGGAGGAAATTTTTTTTAACCCTGCTCTTATCTACACATCTATCGTGTTGGAGGCCCACTGGCTTTTTTGGGGATGTTGACACACACAAATCTCTGTGTGTCACCTTTGGACCGTACATTTTGGGGGTGGGACTTTTGGTACCGCTCGGTTCAAGAGGAGGAAAGCCCTTTTTTTTTTTTTTTTTTTTTAACCCTGTTCTTATCTGCACATCTATTGTGTTGGAGGCCCACTGGCTTTTTTGGGGATGTTGACACACACGAATTGCTGCGTGTCACCTTCGGGCTGTACATTTTGGGGGTGGGACGTTTGGTACCTCTCAGTTTAAGAGGAGGAAATTGTCTCCTGCCTGGTTTGGGATGTTGGATGGTCACACTGTGCTTATGGCCAAGTGCTGGGGAGCGACTGGAACACAGCGAGGTTCTCCTGGGGTCCTTGTCAAAGGAGCGTGTTGGTCTGATCATAGGTGTAGTTTCTTCCCATTTTTCTAAATCCCATTTTTTGAAAGAGCCCTGGGATCTCTCATGGCAGTTTTAACCCTGTGCAGCCTCTAGGCATCCATCCCACCAAAGTGCTGGTCCATATCTGGCACCAAAGCCAGGTCCATATCCAGACGGGGTGTTGAAATCCCATTGGGAGTCTGTAGCATTCATCTCCATGGATGGTTTAGTGCGGTGATGATTCACAACTTACCTGGGCTTCATCAGGCAGCGACAGATCCTGAGTTCTGCCGTGGAAAAGGGCGATGAGAGCTGGAGAAGCAGAGGTGAGGTTCAGTTTAAACCTCAACGGCTGTGCCGTGGGATGTGCTAGCCAGGGGAAGAGACAGGTGGGTACGTGAGGTTGGCAAGAAACACAAGCCCTTACGGCTGCTGATGTCGAAAGAAACAGCAGAGCTGTGAATCTGATTCCCTTATGGAGAAAAAAAAAACATCTTTTGATGGGGAATATCTAATTCCCTCATATCTTGAAGCAGTGCTGCATCTCTGCGTGACAGATATGTTCCCGGTAACATTGGGGTTCAAAGAATTGCCCTGTGTTCAAGTCCCAAAGCAGAGAGCTCTGCGGAGGAAACTTATTGGGGAGAGAAGTGGTTGGGGCTGGATTTGGGTGTCCCCTCCTTGTGATTGAAGTGGGTCCAGGCACTATCTGGTAGTCCTGAGTCCCACCAAGGTGCTGCTGGAGCACCTCTACACTTGAGTTGTGTGGCTTTGTCTAGCAGGGTAGCCCAAAGGAGAGTCGAGCTTCCTCCTGCATGGGTTGACCTTAGTTCATCGATCAGTTCCTTGAAACTTCGTTTGCAAACTGTTAATACTTGGTTATGATTTGGTCTTCTAAAGCAGGTTATGTGGTTTCCTTTTCCCCGGTGGGCTGGGAGTTAATCAAGAGCAGAGCTTAAAGCTGCATTGGATCTTTGAACCTTTCGTGGGTAATGAGATAAACAGGGCTACGGAATATATTTGATTTTTCAAAAACTTTTACTTAGATACAGATTTCTTGAGATGGCATAATTTACTAAAAAATCAGTAAGATTCCTTAGCTGCACGGGAGTCTCTGATAAAATATTCTGGCCCTGTACTGAGCTTGAAGTGACTAGGTGCAAATATAATTTAATGTAAAGCTGTGTGAGTAGTCATTCAAGGCTGCCCCTGGAACAGATGTAGGTAGATTACCCTCTTATTTCAAGTGCCTTTGTGCTGGAGTTGAGCTGTAAAAATTGTTCCCATCACATTAAATGGTATCGCAGCAAAAAACAAAGGTTGTCAGTGAGAAGTCTTGTTTGTGTAAGCTTAAAATCTTGCTTTCTGCAAGTGTTTGTATTACTAGCTCTGCATTAAGAAAACCTTCTCAGGCAGAAGATCCTGGAGAGCGTGACCCTACCAGTGCCAACAGCGATAGTGCAACCATTGCTTAACTTCTGAGCGTCTCCCTGCAGCATTTACACAGTGTTGATGCATCCTTCAAGATGCCAACCTCATGAAGTTCAACCAGGGCCAAGTGCAAGTGCTGGCCAGGAGCCCTCCTGCTCCAGGGCTGGGGCAATCCCAAGGACAAATCCAGGCTGGGTGGAGAATGAATGGAGAAAGCTGGGGAGGGACTTTTTACAAGGTATAGGATAGTGATAGGATGAGGGGTAATGGCTTCAAACTGAAAGAGGGGAGATTGAGATGAGATCTGGGGAAGGAATTCTTTGGTGTGAGGGTGGTGAGAGCCTGGCCCAGGTTGCCCAGAGAAGCTGTGGCTGCCCCATCCCTGGAGGGGTTCAAGGGCAGGTTGGAGGGGGCTTGGAGCAACCTGGTGTGGTGGGAGGTGTCCCTGCCCAGGGCAGGGGGTGGCACTGGAAGATCTTTAAGGTCCCTTCCAACCTAGACGATTCTATGATTCTGTAATTGAGATCTTGTACCTGAAGTCTGGATGCATTGCTAGGAGGGTTGGGTTGGATCAGGACTATCCAGTTGGGTCGTGGTTTTATTTTGTATTGAGCCACTGTAACATCTCTCCCGCTTTCCCAGGAATGACTGGCTTTTGGTTGGGTGATTTTGGAAGCCCGAGGGCTTTGCGTGGGCTGCCCATGTCACCCGTGGAGCGTGTCCTCTGAACCCAGCTGAGCTCCCAAAGGCCTTCCCACCTTTGAGGCTAAACCTTATTCAGCCCAAAATGATATTGTTGCAACCTGTGCTTGTGCTCTAAGAAACTCCATCCCCAACTTCCAGCTCCTCTGTCTTTCGTGTGCGTGTGTGCGGGTCCTTCGGTGGCAGAGCCGTGGCTGGAAAAGCCCTGCAGCAGTTTGCTTCCTCCTCTTCCTCCGGGGTTAGGTGCTGTGTGTGTTTGTCAGCCTTTTGGAGCAATTTAGCTGGGTTCACTGCCAGTGCCAGCTCCTGTGGTTTTCGCCGGTGACTAATCCTTTCCTTCAGCTTTGTTAGAGAATAAGTGGCTGGCTTTGATCTCTGCAGCCAGTTCCAGTGGCGTAACGTCCTTTTCTGCTGGCTTGGTGGCCGGCTGAGAAAGCTCATTCAATTTTAGCCTCTTGTTTAAAAAAAAAAAAAAAGAAAAAAGGAATAATCTTTGAAAAAATTTTTAATCCGGAAGCGTTGCTGCATCTGCAGACCTGGCTGGCTGGTCGCCCCATCCCTTGAATTAATCAGGAGAAGACACGGGGGGAGGGAAATGCCATCATGACTTTTCCTTTCTGGTCGGGCAGCAGCTGAGCATTCGGTTTGCACGGCCCTTCTGCCA